TTTTTTCTAATTTACTTTATCAAGTAAATATTGATTAACCGAAAATCGCTTTAGCTAACTGGTAAAGTTCATCGGTTTTATTATTTCCATGATGATGAGTACTGTTTGATAATGTTGAAATCGATGATAATGATGAAGATATGTGTGTGAACATCAATTGAACAAAGTATTCTGAATTATTCAGTTTCTTTAATAGAAAAAATTTTATTTAAATGAAAACAGAGATTGTGTCAATACAGCTCGTTAAGGACTAAAATGTAGAACTTATATGTGTTGTTTAGTCTCATTATACTCCTCTATAATACTTGAAGTGAAAAATTTCTACCACACTATAAAGGAATACATGAGAAATCAAATTTTACCCGTTTTTTACTTTGAAAGTTATTATGATTTTCATATTTTTTCATTCTTCTCACATCTAAGAACTTCTTCAATATTTGCTTTCTTGTTACTTATACACTTAAAGTCATCGAATATTTAACTATATAAACTTTAGTGGCAGTTGAGATAACTGCTTTTCTCATAGTTCTCGGTACAGCTCGTTGAGTACAGATCTGGTTTCATAGTTGGCGATGACCAGCTAACGGTCACCCTCTGATGTAGAGCGTTCAAAATGAAACGTAAAAGAAACTCGATATGCAAATTGAAAGGTCATTATTGTTAGTCTTTAAAACAGATGCTACTAGCTCTTGAGCATCTGCTTGTTGCTCAATACCATCGTCTTTTGTATTTTGAATCATTCTCTCTCTAAACAATTGATCAACCCATGATGTATAATATGCTATCAAAAGTATCAACGAATGTGTCGAATAAGAACAAATTTTATATTGATCAGCAGAAAGAACTTTGTTCTTACCGGATATCCTCTTTACACAACATTCGAATAGTGTCTGAAGTAAGATAATGCACTCACAAACTGTCTACATTTTTAATGAAATTTCACAACAAAACTGGCTCATAAGTTATTTTTCTCGCATATATTGACAGCTTTCGAAACAAAAACGATAGAGCCAAGTAGAACTCAACGAGCTCTATCGAATGCACTAAGAAAATTGCGATATTTCTACACTATTCCATGTTTAGTGCTTTTCATCTTCTCAAACATAAATATATTTGCATATATTTGGAATCAGCATTGAATTTCGAACAAAATGGTCTATTTAGTTTTCGAAAATTTAAACTTTAATTTTTCTCAAAAATTTCTCGTGTCGAGAAAAGTTGAAAATTTTTTTTCCTCAGAATTTAGGTAAATATAGTTCATTTGATGCAGAATTTCATGCTGAAGACGAATATCTAATTGCTTTTGCTTATTTTTACTTTTATTCTTAAAGAAACTGCAACTTTTTTGAAAAAAGACGAAATTCCATAACGGATGATGTATTTAAACTCCTGTTTGACACAGACATTTCTACTAAAAAATGACTTGATATTCTGGAAGCTCATTAATAATCGTACAACTTTTGTCAAGAGTATTTGTACGACATTTCATTTCGCACCAAAGTGAAAAACTTCTATTTCCTCTAAAAAAAAAAGCGCCCATTTTTGGAAATTCCGTAACGGTCGATACTGTGTAAATAACTCATCTCTGACTTAACAGAAATCAATAAACTTTTAACTTCTGTAAGATCTCGATGATCTCTATTCATGATAAAAATTTCGTTCCGTTTGTTCTTGTTGATATGGAGATATAGGTTGAAGAAGGTAAAAAAATGAAATTCCGTAACGCTTGGCCACTCCCAGTTACTACTCTTAAGGTAAAAATCTATAATGATTGCATTCCTAAACGATCACCATCAAGATACCATGAGAAATGTGAAATAAATTATAATGAAAATATTATGAGTACAAATCTGACAAACTTCTAAACTTTCGTCTCGCATATCTCTAAAACTTACATTCACTCTATTTTTCTTCGAAACAAAAACTGTAATATGAGTTGCACAAAAAATAAAAACAGTCAATAATTTTACCATTAATTGTTAATGATAATAGTTTAATATCAAATAAACTTTGAATATTCCTTAATTGAATAAGTAAAATGTTTTCATACTAGGTGTTCTTCACATATATTCAAGACAATTGAATAAAAGAAACGATTGAATGTGTTTGTGCTGTTGCTAATTCTTGTAAAAGTTCAATAACTTGAAATTTTTCTATATAATCACGATGTATAACAAGGAACTCTGACCAAAAATTTAACAATAACAACAAAATGTAGTTAATACTGTCGGAATCGCTTTCTTACTAGACAATTCTCAATACTATTAATCCAATGAATCAATTAATAATTGATAATCAATATATGCTGTTGATGTATATTTAAGCAGACATTTAATAGGTCGTATCATTAAATGCAGCTAATGTTGCCTACGTAATTGAGGTTTATGTTTATGAATCCATTCGAAATAATTTTTTATTTTTTACATTATCTATTCAATAAAATGAAATTACCTTAAGATAAGCATAAAAACGGGCATTCAATTATTTTTATCTAATATATAAATCACTTCTATTGTTATAGCATAAAATTTTCTAAAATCTATTAGAAAAAAACTAAAACTAAAACTATATAGTTTATTACCGTTACAGACAAAATCCAATAGCAGTGTGCAACTCGAGTGGGATCGCAAGAATTTTGACCTGTGGTGAACACTACTATACAAATATGATTAGTTTAGTAGGAGAAGAATTTCGTAACAGTCTATGAAAACTGAAATACGTCAAAGATATCAAATCTTGTTACACTCGATATTTTTTTTCTATTAGTTTTATTCGACTGATAAACAAGCAGAAAAAAATTTATGCATTCTTTTTGAAAACTATTGTTTGATTATTGAGAAGCGAGTTTGTATTCAGACTTTGCTATCGTATCGAACAATCAAACAAAGTTTGTCGACAAAAGCATGCACGGATTTTGTTCTTAAATATATAACGAGAAAAATCTTTGAAAAATATCGAGACTGTTGATACTTGATCATTTTATAATATTTTTTTTTGTGTACTCAAAAAGTGAGTACACTCTAGAATCGGTCAGTGTGTCCGTCCGGCCGGCCGGCCGTCCGTCCGGCCGTTAACACGATAACTTTTGAAAGGAGAGTCCAATCGCGATGAAATTTTCTGCACAGTTCAGTCTTAACAATGTCTCGGTCGAGTTCGAAGATGAGAATGATTGGCCGAACCATTGCTGAGTTATTGCAAAAATAGTCATTTTTCCCTATGAGAAGATAGACCCTTCTCTGCTTTCATAAAAAACTTTTCCTATCATAGTCATATAAAACCCCAACTATTATATACTATTCGATAGAGAATTTCACGAGCTACAAAATGGTATATAAAACATAAAGAAACAAGAAAGCTAACTCGCCTATTGCAAAGATAATTAATCGGAATTCGGTTCTGTTTTTGTCCACGCTCTATATGATCCACAATTAGAGTTCTATCTTCCCATCACAGAGATGATAGTTCGAGGTTTTCTAGAATGGAGAACTCGGATCTATGTTCCGTTCGCCTCGAAATCCAATTGGTTGAGCAGTAACCAATAGAAATCAAGTTATAGGAAAAACGAGTTTCTTAGGGTAAATCAAGGTGAAGAGTTCAAATCTGAGCTGTATTTGCCTCCAAATCGTATTGGCTGAGCAATAGCCAATGGAAATTAAGTGTTTACAGAAAGGGTTTGCCAGGGCAATTTTGATGTTCACACATTCTAGGGTGACTCCTCTGTCTGATTCACTTTTTGAAGTACACATAACTCTCGGATTTAAATCCGAGGTTTCCACATTTATTGCGAATCTAATTTTTGGCATAATAACATTTTTCGAGTCTATCAACAACAGAATATTTTCACAACTAATTCACAGACTCTGTAAGTTTTTAACTAGTAAATTATATTTGATTGAATAATCTGGCATGTGAACGCTCTATTCCAAAAAAAGGAAGAAAATAGGAGGACTTCTGTTTTCTCGTAGAAAATGTATTCTATGTAGCATTTTAAATTATCACGATACTTTTTTATTGTCTATACGACATTCGATAGACTGCCACCCTTTATTTCCATAACATAAATCCTTGATTTTACACAATGCACAAATGAATGAATGATAATTTTGCACATTGATTCAGTCATTGTTTATCACAGGAATATCAAGCGAATTTATTTTTTTCAACCATGAAATATTAAATCGTGTTACATGGAGAGGTATTTAACGAAAACGTAGTTATCTAATAATAGTTTTCTTGAAATGATTGGATATAGTGCTCTAATAAAAAATGTATTTTAATTTTCAAGAAAAGTTTCCCTTTAACTCGAGTTTTCGACAATTTCTCATTGTAATCGTCAGAACATGACCATATAGGAATCTAAAAAAATAATATACATATGACTGAATTGCAACTTTTAGCTACAGTTGAATTTTTAGTTGTACTTTGTCAATCACTTTTGTTCTGATGAATCGATTCAGACAAATTTTTTACATGTTAGTGATCTTTGAGTGTCGCACTGCCACACAAAAATTTAGCTCTCTAGCTCATATGGTTGCTGAGTTATGAGGGTTACACTGTTAAAAAATCGCATTTTACATAAAGATATATTGAGAAAATCGAATTTTTTCACTATAAGAGAAAAGTGAAAAAATAAATAACGAAAATAATAATTTTATTGGTTGAAAATTAGAATACATATTTTACTGCAGTAATAAACTCAATCTTTTCAAATATCTTCTGAACTGTAGAATAGTCAAATATTTTTGTTTAAGATATTGAAAATACTGATTCCACAACTTAAGTGATAAGAAGAAGGAATAGGAGAATTCCGACGTGAAACGAAGAAGCTTTCATATGCCAGAATAATTATCTTACTCGAATAATATTTAATAACATTGTAATTAATATTAATTTCGTTCGATTTCTCTTAACTCCATTCTAATAAAATACTTATTATCTTTTTTAATATTTTGTTCTTTATAACAATATCATCATCTAATACATTCTTATTTTTATTAATATTAAAATATTTCCGAGTTTGGTGTAGTATTAATTTGTTCATATACATATGAATGTTTATCTTCATATTTTCGTTTAGTAGTTATATGGAATAATAAATCAAGTAATGGACTATCATCATATGTTGACAGTAAAAGTAATAATAACGAAGAATCTGCCGGTGTTGTTGTTTGATTATTAGTTAAATTAATTGTGTACATAGATTCATCAGTCTTACCTGTGAAACATAAATGTTTCCAAAACCCCTAAGAACAATATTATATATATATATTATTTTAATCTTTTTTTCTTATTAATTAATACATGGACATGAATAACAAATTGTCAATCTTGATGTATATAGAATAGATATATCGATATAAATAAATTTGTATTCAAAAAAACAAGAATATATGTTGTTTCATTCTTTTCTGTTGTGATAAATCCACCCAACAAAGAAAGATTTTTTCGATAGTTTTAACTAAAATATGTTCTATTTAATTTTCCCACTAATATTCAATCAGTTGAAAATTCATAAATACGATTGTAACAGTTATCTGCCGTGATATTTTGTAATTTATATAACAAATAAAAATACAATAAGATGACATAATGGTTTCACACGATATATTTAAATTTCATTTTTTTCCATATAAAATAATATCTAAAGAATTTAAAAACAAATTGTTATACATGTTTATGTTAATAAGAAAATAGAAAAGGGTGTGGATATGGGTTAATGAATATAAGCCACTGAAATCTGTCTATATAAAAAGAAGCTATTTAACAAAACATACGACGATTGAACAAAAATATTGATAGTATGAAGGTCGATTTCTTCTTGATACAGAAATATCCTTAAAAAATTTAATTCTAAATTCTAATTCAATACGAACAAAATGAAGAAAAGTTTTTTTTTTATACATTTTTTTTCTGCACATGATAATATAAGTTTGGAACTAATAGTATATCATCATTTTGTTTTAAATATTAAAATAAATAATCATCAAATGAATTCACAATCGAAAGACGTTATTGACGTTGAGATAATAAAATTTTTGTTTCGATTAATATACATATTACTTGTTGTTCATCATTAATATATTCATATCTCAAATAATCTTCAAGTGATGATTGAAACTGGTGACTTGAACAAGCAGAACCACTGAAACAGCATATATACATTTGCTTGAAATAAAAATAGCAAATAAATTTCATTTAAGTGAAAAGAAATGTATTAATAGAAAAACAACATACCTTACATGTGAGTATGCGTGCGTGTTCGTCTATTCTGTACACATATTGAAAATGTGAAAGTGAGAGAAAAAGAATAAGGTCAAGAGAGTAATTTTCTTTTTTGTCTTCTGTCGTCCATAAGTCGTCGTTCATGTTACCATTGATGATCAATGATAACATAGCATAATTAATATGTATATCAATTAAGCTATATTCACACTCATACATTGAGATATTTGTGATTGAATATATTTCAATGTATGTGTGTGCCCTGATTTTAGCTTAATGAGATTCATTTTTTAATTACTCTCCTATGGCAAAGGAAAAAAGTAATTTCTCTCTCAATAACCATCATGAGGATATAAAATGAATGATTTTACATAGAAAATCATTCAATTTATTGAATCACATAATAATCGTTTCCTTCTATATTTTAGATTGGTTTCAACAATACAAAATTATACAATTCAACGTCAAGCAATAAAATAAAATGTAGGTATCAGTTTTTCATTTTTTTTCTTCTGTTTTTTTTCTTTTGGATCACATGGAGGGTAGTAAGTCCTCTTTTGATCTATTTTAAGCTTTGTTTTTTTCTATTTTAGCCATTAAATATGGAAAGTAAGTAAAAATTGTTTTTTTTTAATTTTTTCTTTCTTTTAGATGAATATGAAGAAATCAAAGATGCTAAGTAATTTTTTTTAATCTTTTATTTTGTTGCCTTTTGTTTTAGGTTCTATGATTATTATCAACTAGGAAAAGATAACAGGAGTTAAGTTAACTAATATTTTCTCATAATATAACATTAATTACTTTTTTTTTCTTTTTCTTTTCAGTCTTCAACATCATCGCGTCTTCTTTATCATCGTCCAACATTCGAACACGTGAGTAGTTATTTCTTTTTTTTTCTTTTGAGAAAGAGGAGAATAGGGGTGAGAGAGGGTTGAGGTTAGATCGTGACATTGAGATTGAGGAGAGTGAGGATGAGACTCAGAAAAATGAGTGTTAGTGAGAGACGAGGGTGAGTTCTGTCTGTTGAGGGTTAGGGTTTCGCCTCTTATGAAGCACTTCCGGGTAGTCCCTAAAAGCTCGGCCAGGAACTGTCTTGGTGTCCGTGGCACACGACCAGGCTTATTCAGACTCATTGACATATCTCTTGCGGGGAGGGTATGAATGATATGAGTCTGTCCTGTGCGTGCATGAGCGTTACGCTCGCCACGGCTCCACCAGGATGGTTTCTGGTCGCGCGCGCGCGAATAGAATAAGCCATTTATTTCATCAATCCAATGCGATTTATTTGAAACGAAAAGAACGCAAAAAAAAAATCTATCACGACGAGTCTATTCGATTGAAAAGCGTTGAACACGAGAATTCCCATAATCGACGACATAGAGATTGCCATGTCGATCGAAGGACAAACCCGCGAGATAGCGAAACTGATTTGCTCCTTCTCCGTAACCATTTCCACCCACAATGACAGTGCCCTGTTTCGCTCCTTTAGGCCAACGCATCACTCGATGATTCGATGAGTCTGCCACATAGATGGTACCCAATGTATCGACGAATAGTCCTTGAGAATCCGCCAATTGGGTCAGAGCATTTCCTTGGCCTTTACCTCCAGCGACGACAATTCCTTCTTTTGCACCTTTATTCCATTTCATTACACGATGATTGTCCCTGTCTGACACGTAGATAGTCTGTTGTTGATCGACAAAGATGTAGGTCGGAAAGTTGAGTTGATTGAGGCTAGCACCTTTGCCATTGCCACCAGCCACAAGAGTTCCATTCTTGTCTCCTATTTGATATCGTTTTACTTCATGTTTTTCAATGTCAGAGATGTAGAGATATCTCTGATCATCCATGGCCAATCTACTGCACTTGATGTTGTTGATGAGAATTTCTCCTTGAGTTGTGCCACTACGACGAGACCATCGTACGACTCGTCGATTATTCCAATCACAAATAATGAGACTATCCGTCTCTTTGTCAATCAACACATCGGTTGGTCGATCCAATCGACTTCCATAGCCATTGCCACCAGCTACCACTTGTCCATTCGTATCACCCACCTTCCATTGGATGATACGATCATTTTCGCAGTCAGCGATGGTCATCGTTTGATCATCATCAACGAAAAGACCACAAGGCCTGTTGAGTTGATTGGTGGCACTGCCTTCTCCAAGACCTCCAGCAACAGTCACTCCCTTCTGGGCCCATCGGGCATCGACTGGAATATTGAGAATTACTACAATGAACGAAAAAGAAAAGGAATCGTCGTTGTCGAAGAGATTCCGTCTCTCGTGAGAGCAAGCGCTAGAAATATGACATTCATCTTTGAGAATGCTCGTTCCACAGATAAAAATTCAGAAGTCTTTTCCTAGTTATCTATGAGAAAAAAGGATTTGGTAGCGATTCTTACATCTATGTTACTTATAGTTCTTGCCAAGATCTTTTTGATCATAAAAATAACACCTGGAGATTGCTGTAAGGAGATTTGTCCGAGAAAGCGTAATACTAATTCCATGTAAGTTTTTGATAGAAAAACATAAGGATCTGAGGATTTTTTTCAGAATTGTAAGAATTCAGAATCTTTTTGGCAGAATGATCATTTATATGAATATCAGAGAAGATTCTATCTGTATCTTGTGAGAAGAATATCGAATCGTTGAACAACAAAATACCAAACCTAATCCCTATGTTTTTCAGGAAACCTTAAGGATACATGATTTTTCTGTATGATGAATGTAGATCTGCCGAAGAATCTTCTAAGTATTTGCATAGGCTTTTGGTAAGTTATGTGAAGCTGTTCGAAGAACAACCGTGATGTACTCTGAGTAAGATCATGAGAAGGTTTGGATACAGGCGAAATTGAACAAAGTTGAGAGGATTCCATGCGAATCTATTTAATCTGAGGGGACTTCTTCCTTTACAAATGCTGAAAAGATGGATGTCAATCTGAACGGAGTTCTCCAGTGACAAACATTGGGATCTATAGATTTTATGGGCTTTGAAAATCTAAAAATAATGAGTATCTTCTATGAGGATCATGCTATAATCCTTATGTAGTACTTGTTCTGAGAAGTCTTCTGTAAGCTCGCATGTTATGGATATGTTCAGGAGGATCTGAAGAGTACGTATTTTGAAATGGTTGATATCAGAGATGGGCAATTCCAACTCTAAAGTTGATGCTTTTTCTCATCAGAGTGAAAATGGAGTAGGAACAGGACAGAATGGAGGTGCCTATCTCTGACTTTTATGAAAACGTTTATAAAACAATAAATTAATATCCTACTAATTTATATCAATCGTAGATTTAATTATGTTCAAAAACTTATGTGTATGTAAGAGTGTTTTGGTAGAAGTTCAGTTTTGTAAAATCCGACTCGAATTGAAGTTAAATTGGAGTTGGAGAAAGACAGAGTGTAGTTGCTCATCTCTGTTTAGTACACA